TGCAATACCCCGGCATGGGCCACAACCCCCCTCCAAGGGCTGCAACCCCCCTCCAAGGGCTGCAATACCCCTGCACAGGCTGCAACACCCCTGCACAGGCTGCAACACCCCTGCATGTGCCGCAAACACCCCTGCGCTGGCTGAAGCACCCCTGCACGGGCTGAAACCACATCCTTGAGCGGGTTTCACTCCCACCACGTCCTCAACGAACCAACCACCTCCCTCCAAGGGGAGAGGTGTTCCCTGGCTGCCCCAAGGCTGGAGAGAGCCAGGCTGGGGGGGGAAGGAGCCCTCGAAGCATCCCCGTCCCCTCCACTCGGCAGAGGAACTGGTGCCTCGGGGAAGGAAGGGCCCTGCTCGCCTCGCTGCGGTCAGGGCAGCGCTTTTCTGGCCGGGGCTGCGCTCGGCAGTGAAGGTGCACGGAGGAGGAAATTGGCCCTCTCCTGCCGTGGCTGCAAGGAGACATTTCTGTCCTCAGCCCCGTCACCTCCCCTGGGTGCTGGCCACACACCCGCACCAGTCTGCCCAGTTTGGACTGGGCAGAGCTTTCCGGTCAAGGGCTCTGCAGCGATATAGCAGAGCTGGTCCCGTCTCCAGCCTGAGAGCGGAGGGAAGGTGCCATGAAGCCGTGCTTTGCCTGGCAGCCATGTCCTGTCCCCTGCACTCCAGAGAGCAGGAGGAGACGGAGGTTTTGGGGCGGATGAGACGTTTCAGGCAGGTTTCCCCCGTCACAGTCTTTGATTCGCTTTCCTCTCTCTCGGTGGGGGGTGGAAAGGGCCCAGCTCTCCCCCTTCCACCTTCGCTTTCGACACCAGCGGTGTGGCAAGGCCACGGCCGTTGCAGACGGGGCAGCGTTGCCAAATCTGAGAGGGCTTGGCTGGCCGGGGTTTTTATTTTTGCTGACAGTGAGTGTCTATTTCAGCTGATGAACATTCCCAGCTCTCACAAACCCTGTCCCCTCCGAGTGAGAATCATCCGCCCCGTTGCCGGCAGTGCGCTCACAAACTTCCCATTTTGCCAAATTTCCATGCCGAGCGTGGCAAGGGGCGGGGCAAGGAGCACCACCTAAGCAAGCGCAAGCCCCAAATATCACAGCATCACGGGGTTCAGCCGCTGCTCACGCCGTGTGCCCATGCAGCAGCGTTGCACCCACGCTTCCCCTTCTCTGGGCAATCACAAAACCCCCGAGCTGGCCCCTGCCACCAGCGTGGCAGAAAAACCATCCCCTTGCATGGTCCTTGGGGAGGGGACGCAGCCGGCCCTGTGTCCGACGGCTGCGCACTGGCATCTGGCCCCAGCTCTCCTGAAAAGGAGCTGCTCGGGGCCCGGGAGCAGATGGCAACCGAGCCCCCCCCCCCCCCCCCCCCCCGCCACGCCGGGCATGGCCGGGCACGATGCAGCCGCATCCCTGGCCGCCCATCCATCTGCTTCCCGGCCCCCCGGGACATGGGGCAGTTCAGCCCCATCCCCAGCTCTGAGCCGGAACGCCATGTCCTGCTGCACACCAGTGTCACCCCGCGTGTCACCCCTGGTGCCGAGGCGCCCCGTGGGCATCACCCCTGTTGCCTGCCTCCATTCCCCCGGGGGAATAACGGCGATGGAGGGGCCAGGCGCTGGGGGGATGCAGCCGCACGGAGAGATATGGGGGCTGCTGGAAACGCCATGCACCCAGTGCCATGGGGCCAAGCCAGGGTGGCATTTGCCAGGCTGAGGGTGGGGGCCCAGCACCCAGGGTGCCACGGTTTCCCGGGGAGCATGCGGGCAGCAGAGGGGCAGCCACTGGAGGAACCCGGCCGGCACCTACGCAGCAGGAGGAGGAAGCAGCAGGAGCACAGCATGGGGGGGGAGGGGGAGGAAGAGGATGATGCTGGCAGGATCCCAGGCCTTGGGGACAGTGGCAGCCAAGGGGGGGGAGGGCAGGCAGGGACCACAGCTGAGCAGTGGCTGCAGCCCCTTGGGTACCCTGTGCCCTCCCCATGCCTTGTCCCATCCCCCTCACCTTGCGCACCCCTGTCCTTCACACGTGGCCCCGCACCCCGGTGGCTCTCGCCGCCCTGTCGCAGCCTCCCCAGGGAAGAGGAACCGAGATTGCCCGGGCTCCTCCATCCCCCCGTGGCCCTGAACCTCCCTGCTCCCAGGGGGGGAACTGAGGCACGAAGCAGCTGCAGCACAGGAGGGGAAGGTGCCTCAGTTTTGGTGGCTTGTTAGGACACACGACCCTGAGCCGTGTCCCCATCCCATGCCCAGGACCACTCCAAGCCTGGGGAGGGGACGAGAGGACACATCCTGCCCCTCCACCACCCGTTCCTCGGCCTGGCCTGGTGGCAGATGGTGGCACGTCCCTGCTCCTTCCCCACTGCCCCCAGCCCCAAGTCCAGCCCTGCAACCCGGAGTCGGGGCCCTGGAGCAGAGCCCTGCTCCTTCTCCAGTCCTTCCAGTTCACCCAGTGCCTGGCGAGTCCCCTGCAGAGCACAGCAGCCCCTGGTTCCCCAAGGACAGGGGGTGCAAGGAGGGACGGGGAGGGTCCGGCCGAG